TCAGATAATGTATCTCTCATGCAGTTCGGCAAACGTGTGAGTGCAGCTTGGCATGTAATTTCGGTGGGGGTTGCATTTTTTTAATTTGTTGTGCCATGCGATGTGTGGTTGCTGGATGTACTTCTTTTTGAAGTACTATTGGTTGTGTCTAGAGGTTCATTTCATCTTTCTCAAGCGGTTCATTTTGATGAAAGAAAAAAAAGATAGGAAAAGAAACTAATGCAGTGCACTAGCCTCTACTCTGGAGTCCCGACGCGTTAACACAAAGAAGAAAAAATGGACAAAACAGAAGAATGCAGTGCACTTGGTTCGTCACTACAATCCCAAAACATGTTGAAAAACACTATCAGCAGTAACTCATGTGATTCAAAGAATAAAAAAAGATAGAAAAATGAAAACAAAAGTAATGTGGTTCAATTCTTATGGTATTTTGAGGTTCACTTATGCCCGATGTGAAGCGCACTTCACTTCTTCGTCTGAGAAAAATTTACCCCCGACAAAACAAATCATGAAGTTCGCTTGACTGTTCGATGCAGTGCGTTCTTCTGTCTGATGACGTACACACGGAGATTTGGGTGTGTCGCGAAAAACAGAGTGTCTACGTTTCGGTATTTTGTTCGCGAAAAACAATGTGGTTCACTTTGATATATGTCGCGGCTCACTTGCCCTTGTCTTTGCGGTCCACTCTAGTTCATAAAAAAAGTTGAAAAAAAGACAACAAAACCAAAACTCGTTTGGGAAAATTTACGTCCCACAAAAAAAATCATGCAGTGCACTTGTCGATATGATGAAGTGCGGTTTTTAGTCTGAAAGCAGTGCGGTTTTCTTTCTGATGCAGTACACACGACGATTTTGGGTCACGAAAAAACAGTGTCCGCATTTCGTTGAAAATCAAAATTGCTGTTAAATCATAAGGAATCAGAGATAGTGTTCTACACGAAAAAGTTGCGTCCCATCAATATCTATCCAACGGAGTATAATTTGAACCATTTCGACAAGCGGTTTGAAAAAATTTCATGAAAAACGGCCGCTGCCTCTCGTCATCAGCCACACGATTTTCAAAATTAACTAAAAACCGTAAGGAATCTCAAAAACATTTCAACATATGAAAGTTGCGCCTTGTCCGTAGCTTTCCAACGGTGTATCATACGCTTCATTTGGACAAACGATTCAAAAACTGGAGAGAAAACAGTACCGAAAATTTCAAAAAATTTAAAAAACAGAATTCCGCGATTTAGTAAATTTGAAACTGCTCTTAAATCGTAACGAATTAGAGAAAATAATAGATACGTAAAAGATGCGCCTCGACGATATCTATCCAACGGTGTATCCTTTGCTTCATTCCGACGAGCGGTTTAGAAAAAAACGCGAAAACGCTCGCTGCCACTCGTCATGGGCCGCATCATTTTCAAAACTGCTCTTAAACTGTGGGGAATCTTAAAAAGTGTTGAACATGGCGAAGTTGCGTATAATCCATAGCTTTCCAACGGTATATCATACGCCTCGTTCCGATAAACGGTTAAAAAACTAGAGATTCTATGATCGATTCTACTAGAAATTCTATTTATATATATGCATAACGTGTACAATATGTAGTATTGTAAAATACCAGCAAATGAAAAATAATTAAATGGAAAACACAAAATTAAATGAAAAAGAAATCATAAACCCAAAACCCCCCAACATTTTAATACCGGTTGGTGACACCAACCGGTACTAAAGGTCTCCCTGCCCCCGAAGCTGGCTCGTGCCACGTGGTTGCCCTTTAGCACCGGTTCATGCTGAACTGGTACTAAAGGGGGGGCCTTTAGTGCCTACATTTTAGCGCCGGTTACCAAACCGGCACTAAAGGGCCTTACGAATCGGTGCTATTGCCCGGTTCTGCACTAGTGTTTGGACACTTAGAAAATGAAAATTGACTTTTTTATTAAAAAAAGTAGAAAACTCTATTTGGCAACATTGTTTCTAATGTCAATATGCACCTATCTGTCCAATTTGGGGACATTATAGTAAACTATGCAATGAATATGACCATCACCTTGGTCCTTCGGCTTGAAAGCCATGAATGTTCATACACTATAGCCCGTTTTGCGAAGGGTTTTTTTCAAATTTATAATATTGAAAGTTTGGTATTTTTCCTTGCAACTAGTACACATAAAAGGACTCCATGCGAAAGGATTGCATTTTTAAACTTGTATTCTTTTTCTTTCATTTTTCCCAACACGGGTCACGATGGTCAAGATGGCTATTCATCACAAAGGGTTGAATCTCACAAAACTCTAAGTGGTTCTCCCATATAATGACTACTTGTGTATCTAGAAATATATTTTTGCTAATTTTTATGACTGAGCTATCACACACTTGCAGTTCAAATTTGAATTACTTTCAGGAAATTGACATAAAGTCATTTAAATGTGCGAAAGCAGCTAGAAAGCTAGAAAATCCATGAAACTTGGGAATTCTGCATAAAATATGGTCTACTTAATGTGATAATTATGGTGGTGCCATTTTGCACCCTGATTTTTGTAGTTGATTCACAAAAAACAACCAGTTTTGACACTTAGAAAATGAAAATTGATTTTTTTTGTACAAAAAAGTAGGAAACTCTATTTAGAAACATTGTTTGTAATGTTAAGATGCACCTATGTGTCTAATTTGGGAACATTATAATAAATTATGTAATGAATATGGCCATCACCATGGTCATTTGAGACTATATTGATATTTAGCATGCCAAAAAGTGTAAATAATATGGATTAAATGAAAAGGTTTTCAACATGAAAATTGCCTGTCTCGTCAAAATGAACAAATTTGATTTTTGGACCATCTTCATCCAATGTCGTATGCAACCTGTACAGCCAAAATCATGCAGTTTAGCGAAGACCCCCTTTTGTCGAGTGTGACACTCGGTAAAGCCTTGTTTGCTGTGTTTTGTTGTTTTACCGAGTGTTTTATCCACAACACTCGGCAAAGTGCATGTTTGCCGTGTTTCACGTTTTTGCCGAGTTAGGTACTCGGCAAAGATACTATTGCCGAGTGTCCGATATAATGCACTCGGCAAAGAGCCTAACACTCGGCAAAGAGAAAAATTCCAGTAGTGCCATGGCAGTAATCTAATGTAATGTATTTTTGATCGAACGGTATACTAGATAAAGGTGGAGCATGCAAACAGGCAAGGTAAATGGAGAGTTGCATGAACAAACAATTAAAGTAGGTGCCCATGGAGAGTAGTGTAAATACCATATATAGTAATGTATTAGCATACATCCCCTTGGAAAGCCCTCCGGATACACTACCTAGCTCAGTCGTATTAGGAATATCCAGCTGATTAATTTGCTTTGTAAAGCAACAATTCACCTAGTTTTGACGAACAACACATCTCATATGTACTGGTCGAAATTACCCTGTAATTTTTTACTTTATTAATATAAGGCAAGATTGTACGAGGGTTATTATCCCAAGGGGAGTTGCGTACCTATATAAACCCTTGTCTTCGAGATGAACCATTCAATTCTCGCCTCCTATTCCCTTGTTCATATACACTTATCTATATGATCGCAAGTTAGGTGGTTACAATTCTTGACATGTCCATCCATGAGCACGAGGAGCATGTTTCAAGTCATTATCCTTGATGATGAACACCAATAGGTTGTCTGTTATTTCTCACTATGACATACTCCAACCATGGCATGAGCTGGAGAGTGAACAAGTGTAGTTTTCATTGATGAAATACTTGACATTATGAAAGAGTGGAGAAGGCCTTCAGGTAGGTGGCGATCTGCATGTTAAGGGATAACCATCCGAGTAGTTGTACCCAGATTAGTTTTTAGAGTACACATGTAAAGTGCTTCAAAGTAGCACTTAGTGCTCATAGTAGAAGAAAATTCACAAGTGGTTCAAAGTAGCACGGCTTCATTGAATTTCATTGTTGAGAGTTCATGAGTTTCATGTATACTGGTGAGGAAATTGACATTATAGAACTTGTCATGTATATTTCAATAATGAGATCTAGGTCTTCATGAAGAGGCAAGCTGATGTACCCGCATTAGTCCGTAGGAGAGCTTTCATTGCCATATTGATCTGTGTGCATCCTAGTTGCATGGCAATCCCCACTCCTTGCACAATATCGATCATGAGGTCTTCCTGTTGTCCTAATGGTCAGCTGAGTTGTTGCAAGATTTTTTTTGTTTTTCACTTCTTTCAACCCGCAACATTATCTCCTCTATATGCGAGAAACTCATGCTTACGCTCAGATTTTGAATTTGTAAAGATCGTGAAATAGAGCAAACAAACAAACAACGTTGCAGATGTGCTTATGCTCAAGAAGATGTGTGCTAGTACAGTTGTTGGGCGTTTGGGATGTAGAGCCCAGAAACATCAAGGAAGCTTCCTTCTAAAATTTGTGGGATTTAATTTCCAAGTAACACAAAGTAAAAGAGGGCCATCACAGGTAAGCATCCGGGAAAAAAAAAACTCGTTTGGTCAAGCCCTAGACTAAATAGTGGTGTAGTCTAGTGGGCCATGCCTAGTAAACCAACCTGAAATGCCAGTTCGACCCTAAAGCAACAAATGCCTGTTTGGCACAAGGAAAAATAGGTTTGGCTGAGTCGACTGTCCGGACAAAAATTCAGTAGTTTCAGAATTACTTTCCGGCCCTGAGAAATATCAACACACCTTTCAAATATTTACCATATATAATATCACTTACAACAAAATTTCAGTGCCAACAAATGAATGAAGTAGAGTATATCTCCTTCATTTCTCTCGTTCTTCCGGTTGCTCAATCAATGAACAATATTAACTGTCACAAATATTTCACTTATGTATGTACACCATCTTTTCATTCTTCTTAGAAACTTACCTGACAGCCATCTATGTAGATTCTCATTCCATCAGTCCACATTGCTCTTATGCATCTCTTTCCAAGACCAAGGAAATTCAAGCAAAACCATTGCTTTAGTATGGAGTGAGCTTCAATTTCACAGTCCGTAATTCTTCTTCTACGATTCACACTTCTGGGCAAGCTGAATCAGAGAGTTTGCCTTCCTCTGTGCTCTACTCGTGCCGTTCTTGGCAATCTCCGTGAGATGCTCGTGGAGGCCGAACCCAAGGGCGTGCACCATAAGGGCATTATTGTGTGATCCAAGCTCAAGGATAACAGAAAGTGCACACTCCTTGTTCTTGGGGGTCCCCTCCTTGATGATCCGCACAAGCGTCTCAACGAAGCTCTCTGTTCCGATCGTTCCACGGCATGCCGAGTTGGACCCAAGCAGGAGGAAGATGGAGAGGGCCTCATCAACCATGCCAAGTTTCGTGTTGTCGAGAGTTTTGAGCAGCACGGGAACGATGCCAGCCTCAATAGCCCTTAACTTGTTCTGGTGATTCAGCAATAGGTTGAAGATGGCCGTGCTAGCATCTTTCTTCCCCCTGATCGTCCCATTCTTCAGGAGGTCAACCAATGGAGCCATACCTCCCAAGGCCCCTATGGCCACCTTGTTCTCGTCAACCATGGACAGGCTAAACAGCGCCGCGGCGGAGTTCTCCTGGCCCTCGACATTGCCGTTCTTGAGGACTTCGATGATCAATGGGATGGCATTCCCTTTGGCAATCAAGACCTTGTTGACCTCGTCGATTGAGAGGTTGAGCAACGACGTGACCGCATTGTCCTGGATCTTTTTGTCTGGGTACTGCAGGAGGCCGACAAGGGCCGCGATGCCTCCACTGTCAGTGATGAGTGTGCGGTCCTCCGGGCTCTCCTTGGAAAGCGTGCGGATCTTCTTGGCGGCCTTGCGCTGCACGTCGAGGTTTGGGGATGAGAGGTCCTTCACCAATGACGGGATGAGTACTTCCTTATTCACTTCCTCCTCAACAGGAGGTTCGTCAGCTCTTGTCTGCATCTCTACCTTGTTCTTCTCACACCACTGCAGGATCAAGTTCTTGAGAGCAAAATTCGGCGCCAGCGACAGATGCGCCAACGGCTGCTGCGTCTTGGGACACGTTCGCTGCCCCGCGTCCAACCACTTCTGGATGCTTCTCCTCTCGTAAGTCTGCAAATAATAGTTAGAGAATTCAGATTAAGATCACTAAGATGAAGACGAATTTCCCACGCAATTGTGTGCGACTAAAATTTCCGGTAATGAGAAGCACAGACCCGGCCGCTGGCAATGATGACGGGGTCGGTCATGATCTCGAGGGAGATGGGGCAGAGGAAGTCGTTGGGGATCATGAGAGAGGGGCACTTCTCAAGGTACTTGGGGATATGGACCTCGCCGAGGATGTTTTTCTCGTCTATGCCAGCAACCTCCTTGAGCTTGTGGAGAAGGTCGATGATCTGCTTTGTGCTCTCAGGTTGCTGCCCGTTGCGCTCGTTGATTAGCTTCTTGATGGCCATGGTCTCGGCGCGGAGGTCGGCCAGGCTTTGTAGCTCGAGCTTCTTGGCCAGCCGCTCGAGGATGACCCTGTCCGCGCTCCGGTCCTCCTTGTCCTGGAGGACCACCATGAAGTCCATGGCGAGCTCCATGTCCTGGGTGTCCGTCCTCTTCTTGCTCCGCTTCAGCTGCGTGTTGATGAGCTCCACCTGCACGCTTTTGCCATTTTAGTTAGATCAGAGGCAGCATTAACAGATGCACAATTTGATTTCTTGGAGGCATTTGATCGAGCAGGCGGGGTGCGTAAAAAAACGTACTTGCTCCTTGACCTCGTCGGAGATGCCGATGTCCGAGTAGGGCATGCCGTCCAACGCGACGTTGATCTTCTCATACACGGCCCGGAACCTCCCCTGCACCGCCTCGCTCTCCAGCGACTGCGACCATCAAAACCAGCGACGAATCAGAAATCCCGTTAATTAATTCGTTGACGGCAAGAGACGCGATCGGCAGGCGAGGCGATTACGCACGAGGAAGATCTTGCTGCCGTCGTGGCAGCAGCGGAGGAGGCGGCGGGCGGCCTGGAAGGCGCGGCTGAGGAGCGCGAGGCGGCGGTGGGCGTCGTCGGTGAGCGGGCGGGGCGGGGACGCATCTTGGAGCTCCTCGATGAGCGGGAGCACGAGCTGGAGCCAGCGGAGGAGGTTGAAGCACTCCTTGCGGTGCGACCGCCGGAACTCCTGGAACGCCTGCGCGGCGCCCACGGTGGCGACCAGTTCGTCCAGCAGGTCCCCGTCCGAGAGCTGCCGCCCCGACGGCTCCGGCTCGGGCTCCGGCGGCTCCGGCTCCCCGGCCGGCCGCGTCCCGAGCAGCGACGACAGCATCGGTAGGCAGATACGGAGAGCGGGAGGCTAGCTTGGCGAGGTAGGAAATGGCGATGGATCGGATCACGGGGGCGGAGGGAATAGGAGGAGGGAGAGAAGGGATGGTTTTGGCGGGCCAAGCTGAATTCCAGGAACGAGTAGGCTTCAAAAATAGCAAACGGGAGAGGCGAGGAGGCGTCACCCATATTGGGGCAAAGGTCTTTCTTTCTTTCCTAGGGAAAACTTTCTTGTCTATTCGTCATTATCCATCATGACAGTACAATGAACATCAAAAATAATAAAAATTATATTCAGATTCGTGAACCACCTAGCGACAATTATAAGAACCGAAGCGAGCTGAAGAGGCGCCGTTGTCATCGCTTCTCCTTCACCAATGCTAGGCAAAACTTGCTATAATAGACAATCGGGAAGTCGTTGTGCCAAACCCTTATAGGATCAACGCACCAAACACAGCAACCGCCGCTGTTGAAAAGATGCATAGACGTGAATATCCAACCTCTCGACACACGAACAAAGACCGGATTCATGTGGATCCACCTAAGACAAATGCCGACCGACTCCCGCGAGATCCGCTGGAGACAAACTTTCACACGCCCTCCAGCTACGCCAGAAGCACCACCAAAACGCGGGAAGAATTTGATTCCATATTCGAGAGCCGCCCCGCCACCGCCTTGTCTTTAAGCGGGACACAAACTCTAAGAAAATTTAGAAAAACATAAGAAAAACAAATCCCTCCCATCGACAAGGGCCGGTATCTACCACACCCCCATATCCCTAAGGTTACAGAAGACGACGCAGACAGGGCCCGGCGCTAACGTGGTTGGATGCCGTTCGTATGAGCGCTATTTCCCTAGAGGCGCAATGGGATACCATGTACACCTTTTGACTAGGTTGGCAAGGGGTTCGACTTTTCATCAACCCCGCCTTCATTGGGGCAAATGTCTCTGCTGTGGTTTTGGTAAATAATATCTTAGAAATGAAGTATCCAAATGATAAGTGTCACACGTCAAGTGCTTGGCACTCTGGGCCTGATGTTTTTTGATTGCAATTTCTGTCACGCAAGGATGTTAAATTCTAGTGACACACGGCAAGTTTCGATCCAAAATAAATTAAAGCACAAAAGCTGTCATGCTTGTGAATTAAAGTTGCCATCCTCATGTAACTAAACTTGCCATCGAAGATGTTCGAAGTTTTCATGTGCTCCTATCTGACGTGTGGCACTTATCAGGGTTTATAAAATAACTATGTCACGTCTAAGTCTTTCATCACATGATTAATTTGTAGTAAAATTTGTGGCAACTATGGCTATTTTCTTTTCAGGGGTATCACCACTTTATTTAATTAATCAGGATGGAACTTGAGATACAAGCAATATCTGGGGATTGTAAAATCCACAGGTGGCGCCCCACTACCAGGGATAAACTAGCTTTGACTAAACAATGAGGGGACCTCCTATACCGCGCGTGACGTGCTAGGAACGAGCCAGCACGCAAGTCCTCCCCTTCCGCCCGCGCCTATTCGGCCGGAACTTGAGGAGGCCGGGAAGCCCCTATTGATTTCCCATTAATTTTTTTATGCTTTTACCTTTTGTTTTTTGTGTTTTTCATTAAAATAATTCAGGAATTCAAAAAAGTTCTAAATTTCAAAAAACCAAACATTGGAAAATGCTCCAGAAATCATCAAATTTTCATGTTTTAATTTTTTTTTATGATTTCGAAAAAAAAGTTAGTGAATATGAAAAAAACACCAAATGTAAAAAATATTGAACATTTTTTAGATGTTCAGAATTTTTTTATTGTGAATTTCAAAAAATTCTTCACTGATTCAAAAAATTGTCATCGACTAAAAAAAGTTTGCCAATTGAAAAAGAGAATGCAAATCATAGAAATATTTATCGTTTCAAAAAATGTCTGTCTGTTCACAAAAATATTCACATTTTTTTAAAAATGTCCTCAAAAGATATATTTTTTGTGATTTTGAAAAGTGTTCGTCCATTTGAGAAATGTTCACGGTTTCACAAAAAAAATTGTGAATTCAAAAGATATTGACGATTTAGAAATTATATATTATTTCACAAAATGTGTTTGTGAATTCAAAAAAAATGTTCCTAATTTCAATAAATGTTCACGAATTTGAAAATATGTTTGCAACATGAAAAAGAAAAAGGAAAATAGAAAAAAGAAAAAAGAAAAAAAAACTAGAAGAATAACAATGAAAATAGAAAAAAGGTCTAGAACCTTCCCAAAAACCGGATGGGGAAGAACCCGGAATGGACTGACCCGAAGAGGACGAAGCACCCAACGGGGTACGCACTAGGTCGCTACATAGCGACCTATGTGCGGAATAGGATTCCGCAACTATGAGCTAGTCGACATACGCGTTGCCCCCTTGTGTTTACATGTGTGAGTGGGCTGGCCCATGTAGGACTATTTCTATCGGTTTTATGAAGCTTCTAGAAACTTCAAATAGTTTTTTTTTTTGCCTTTTTTAGGGGTTTTCTTGTTTTCTGTTCACTCTATTTATGTTTGTATCCTCATCTTTATTTATTTATTTAAAATTCATTTAAAAAATAAAATTCAGGTTTTTATTATTGGTGGTGCTAGTTGCATGTCTAATGTCAAACACGAAACTACAAGTGGTGTCGTTTTGCTAATGCATGTCTCCAACGTGATTGTATCTTGGGGAACAAAGCTGTGTTGTCATTAGGGCAATTAAATGTCTCCTAGTTGATATGCAACTGCAACGCCACTTCAATTATAAATGAATGTCTTCAACGCAACTATAACTTCACGGTAGGATGAAACTGTTTGTTGGGAGAATAGTTGCATATGTTCTACTAGATACACAATTGAACACTATCATATGAATGCTCGGCAGTGACGGGTGAGGCTCTGTGAGGCGCCCGCTACTGGTAACATGGCATCAGTGGTGGGCGCTCCACCTCCCACAGATAGGACTATAACAGTGACCGGCGTTACAAACAGCCCGCCACCGACATCGATCTCGTAGCAGCGGTGGGCATTACTATCAATGGCGGGCAAAAATATAGGCCCATTACTGGCAATCGTCTTGCGGTGGTGGGTATAAATTTATTCTGCACACCACTGGTTAAAAATAGTTTTCTTTCTAAAATTAGACCACGAAAAATATGCCACAATACATTGTGCAATATACAAGCGTCACAATACAAAGAAAATATGCCACAATATGCAGCACAGTATGCAATCGTCATAATACAAAGAAAAAACACTAAAATCACATCAGCCACTACACAGACGCCTAGACTTTCAGTGGCGGCGGCGTTGATCTGGTGGACATGGACGACTGCGACGGGAACTGCGTGACCACCGGCGATAGAGGAGCCCAACCTCTTCGGCAATTAACTCGTTCCGTGCTCACCTTGGGTTGACGGCTATAGTCTAAATTTGCCGTAGCGGCTCTCCTTGTTGTTCCGGCCCTATCCATGTCCGATGGCTTTCTGAGCCTGTTGAAGTGGAGGGTCGGTCTCCGGTGAGGTAGAGTAGGACATGGGACACGACCCAGCTAATGTAACTCGAGTCAGCGCCATTTCCCATGGCCTACTTTTCCTCATCGCAGCCCGTGCCCTGCATGTCGTCGGGGGATGTGAGGTCGATGATTGATCCGTCGTGGTGGAGCCGACCACGTCGAACACGACATGATTGCGACACCAAGGGCTGTCGGGAACAATACGAGGCGCCGAAGAGTGGGAGTCGACCTTACTGGCGTCTGGAATGAGGGCTTCTGCGATCTCCCGCACCCGCCGCCTTGCACGATGGGCACGCCACCATATTTGCATTAGACGTTAAGCGATTGTGCACATCTGTCTCGGTGCGCCAACAAAGTGGTTGCGCATCCGCCACGGCATTCAGACGCCAGACTGACCGTACCACCTCGGGGTGGCAGTGGCGACTGCCCTGGGGCTGGATCCATGCGCCATTTTGGTAGACACAATGGATTCCCGCTGAATGGATTTCGAGCGCTGCCGGGCAGACTCGTCTGGTTGTGGTGAAGCGCAAGGAAACCGACCATCTCCTCCTTGAAGCCTTGTGGGACGATCTACGGGTCAACGGATCAAGAGGTGCTGGAATGGGAGCCATTGGCCGCCATGCCTGAGATGGTGGGGGATCGCCGAACAGGGCTTGTTGGTGGAGGGGAGTAGCTTGGAGAGGAGTAGAGTGGAGTCGAATGCGGCTAGGGTTTCGCTCAGAGTGCAGATAGGATTCAATTTATGTGGGGTCAGGCGGGCCATAGTCGGCCAGATCCTACCTGGGGCGTGTGTCTAGGCGCCTATGGGCCTCCACATATTTGTTCGAGATATGGGCCGGATATGGGGAGTGTCGGTCAGCCAAGACATTTGGGCCGTATTTGGCAAGTCCAGTTGGGTGGCAATTTTGCGTCCTGGTAGTGACCGGGCAGCTCGCCCTGGCGTTTCAGGCGGATATGAGGCGTCCACTTGTAGATGCTCAGAAGCTCACAAACCTGGACATGTGACTACAACGTCTTGCATCTTGCATTTGCATGACTGCTATCTGAATCACATCCAAATATCCAATGCTCTTAGAAAGCATTTGTTTGTTTTCTTCCATGCATCCCAAATTTGCATTGCAACATCGCAAAATCCAACTCACAAGTTTCAAGCAGATGTAAACCGCAAAACTACAGGAGGAACGACATGCAACACTTAGCCGAAGGAAACAATATTTTCATGTGCGAGGCTGTGAATAATGGAGCCACCACGAGAAGTTTAATGGGAACAACAATGAAAATAAAATATTAGCATCATATTTTTTACTGCTATTGCCAGCATGCATCCATTTATAAACGCCTCTCGATATCTATTATTCTCTCTCCATGGCAATGTTTCATCCATATTATTAATAGTACTTTCACAAAGTCCCCTTTATTATCTATCCATGCCTGATCGACCCCTCACCTTGACATCAATCATAAGTTCACACCCATCCAGGTTCAAGCTCCCA